ACGGAGGAGGAGGAGGAGTAGGGGAGACCACTTACGTCCGGCACCCCCACACTCGCCACCCCCAAACCCCAACACAGGGCAGGGCAGCAGCAGGGGCGGCAGCTGGGCAGGGCCGCGACGAAGACGGGAGGGGCGACGCGCGCCCCCCCCCCCCCCCCCCCCCCCCCCTTGGCGCCGCGACTGGCGACGGGAAAAGGCGGGGGGGGGCAGGGTCGGGGCAGGTCCGGGACAGGGCCGGGACAGGGTCGGGGCCGGGGCAGGTCCGGGACGGGGCCGCGACGGGGCCGAGGCAGAGCCGGGACAGGGTCGGGGCCGGGGCAGGTCCGGGACGGGGCTGCGACGGGGCCGGGGCAGGTCCGGGACGGGGCAGGGCAGGGACGACGACGGGAGGGGCCGACGCGCGGCCCCCCTCCAGTCGCCCCTCCCGTCGCCTGTCGAGGCGACCCTGGGGGGGGGCGCGCGCGGGCCCCCCCAGGGCGCCGCGACGGGCGACGGGAATCGGCGCCGCGACGGGTGACGAAGGGGGGGGGGGGCCGCGCGGGCCCCCGTTGGCGCCGCGACGGGCGACGAAGGGGGGGGGGGGGCGCGCGGGCCCCTGTTGGCGCCGCGACGGGCGACGAAGGGGGGGGGGGGGCGCGCACGAGCCCCCCCGGGCGACGAAACCGCCGTGCGCCCCGGGGCGCGCGATGGGCAGAGAACCGTCGCGCGCCGCGGGGCGCACGACGGGCAGAGCAGGGCGTCGCGCTGCCCAGAGGGCGGCGCGACGGGCAGAAAACCGCCGCGCGCCCCTAGCGCGCGGCGGGAAGAAAAAAGGCCGCGCGCCATGGGCGCGCGGCAGGCAGGAAGATAGCGCGCGTCCGAGGCGCGCGATAGGTAGGATAGCAGCGGAAAATAATGGTGGGCCCATGCACAGGATCGACCCGTGAGGGTCGACCTGCTCTGATTCCATGTGAAGAATTAAACAGGAAATGAGAAAGAGGGGGTTTCACTAGCAAGCAGTTGAGTACATATAGCAAACCCTAAATTGGGCTGTACTCACTATTGAGTACCCCACTGCAGGCTAGACAAAACATAACATTCTGACAGCGTGTACACCCTTGAGAGCAGCCCATGCCTTTGGTCCCTTCTCTGGTTCACGCTGGAATGGCTTGATGTGACGGATCTGGCTGCTCCCCAACGCTTGCCCAAGTAGGAGATAGCCTTGTGCGCTCTTCCGCACCCACGGGCTCTTCTCCGGGTCGTTCTCGGGGCGCTTCTCCGTTCCTTCCATCACCTCCAGCAGGTCATAGTGGTCAAAGATGTTCTCCATCTTGAAGGACCATTCAGCAAAGTTGTCACCGTTGAACTTGTCAAGCCCAAACACCCTAGGTTCATCCCTAGGTGGGCCAAGACTTGGATGCATGGGCGCCATGGCTGAATCACGGGGCTGGCCTTGAGCTTGGGCTTCTCCACTGCCACCAGCACCTCTGCCAACCCTTTCCTCAGGTCCAGCCATTGTCGAAACTGCTCCAAGGGGCTCTGATACCATTTGTTATTGTCACAATAGGCTTGAATGTGCCTAAAACGAAATATAGAGTGCACAGACGGATTTTTGCACAGCGGTTTCAAACGTTGATAGCGTTCTGCTCACAGCTGCAAATGACTTGATTCAAATTGGATCTGGAGCGTCTTCACGTCGCCTACAATAAGCAATTTAGATTGCACGATTTCATAAAGAATTGACGACACAGCGTTGGTTTGAACGAACGGTACTATGGCAGCCACTATAGTCTTAGAACACAAGATAGGAAGAGTTACGAGTTAGGAATGACTCCCAGCTCCTACAAACCCCAAGAGCCGAGGTAAAGTGATGTGGAACAGTGCCACACTGTCCCCAACCACGAAGGGTCTCGAAACTACCCTCCACAAGGGCCTACACCAAGAGAAATGTTACACTACACAAAGTAATGCAACTATTCTCACTATCTTAAAGTTTACCCTTTTGGAGAGCTTCGAAATCACTTGATTCTTGAAACCAAGGCTCTGGTTCTTCAAGGTAAATTCTTCCTTGAGTTCTTGGAAGTCTGCTGCGCAGACATGCGACACGCCGAACGTTCCACACACGACAAAATAGAAAACCGCACACGACACGCAAACAACGACGTCGCACGCAACTAGCGATAACTCGCTATTGACTCGACACACACATTCAAAATCATGCCTCATCATTCACACACTATTGTAAGCATGAAATATATATTATTTCATGCCCTCATACCATTCCATGCACACACGCATGCACGCACACGGACAACAAGCCGAATGCAAACCGTAGGGTTGCACCAACACTCAGTAGACGGTAGGTGACTACGCACAGCAAGGCGGGCAGCAACATCGCGCGTGGTCCACTGTGAGCGAACAGTACTGTCAGCATCAGCAGCAGGGGCAGTAGAAGCGCCAGACGTGAGATCGAACAGTGAGAGACCATCCTTGCTATCGCACTGTAGGAAAAGCTGCAGATCATCTATCCAGACCTCGAAGTCAACCGCTCGACCCTCAGCATCAAAGGTAAGAACACTGGGACTAGCCATGACAGTAGCAGCAGCAGGCTAGCAGCAGCAGCAGTGCGACTCGACTACGCGGCGCGGCTAGGCAGGGCAGCGCGACTCGGCGGTGCTCTTACCAGGAGCGGGGCCGGGGCAGGGCTGCAACAGGTCCGGGGCAGGGCAGCGACAGGTCCGGGGCAAGGCCAGGGCAGGGCTGCGACAGGTCTGGGGCAGGGCCGGGGCAGAGCCGGAGCAGGGTAAGGGCAGGGTCGGGGCAGGGCCGGGGCAGGGCCGAGGTAGGGCCGGAGCAGGGCCGGGACAGGGCCGGGGCAGAGCCGCGACAGGGCCGCAACAGGGCCGGGGCTGGGCCGCGACAGGTCCGGGACAGGGCCGCGACAGGGTCGGGGCAGGGCCGGGACAGGGCCGCGACAGGTCCGGGACAGGGCCGGGACAGGGCCGCGACGGGGCCGGGGCAGAGCCGGGGCAGGGCCGGGGCAGGGCCGGGGCAGGGCCGGGGTCGGGCCGCGACAGGACCGCGACGAGCGACGGGGCAGGGCCAGGGCGGGGCCGCGACGAGGTCGCGACGGGCGACGGGGCAGGGCCGGGTCGGGGTCGCAACGTGCGACGGGGCAGAGCTGGGGCCGCGCCGCGATAGGGCCGCAACGGGGCGGCTTCGGGCGACGGGGCAGGGCCGGGTCGGGGTCGCAACGGGGCCTCGAAGGGGGCCGCTAATGGGTCGCAAAGGGGCCGCGTAGGGCAGGACAGGCCGCTAAGGGGCCGCGAAAATCGAGGGCAGGGCAGAGCGCGAAGCGCGCTTCGGGCAGTTAGGAAAAAAAAAAATTAACGGTGGGCCCTTAGGAAGGAACGGTCCCACTAGGGAACCCGCTCTATACCATGTGAAGAAATGAGAATGATTGACTAGGAAATGAGTTGGGTACAAATATGAAACTCTAGGAAACTGTACCCCATAGTGTCTACCCCACTACAGCCTACACAGGCTATGTGATTAATGTTTGACAGTTGTTACATATATATCTCTGCATGTGAACTGGCCTTGTGGCCTTCTTGCTTGTGCTCAGACTGCGTGGTGACGTTGTGATCCGCCCTGAGCTTGCTTTGCACTTCCTGACTGGTCTTGTGACCCTCTGTTCTCCTCCACTCTGCCTATGGGGGTGTGTCAAACATATGTATATATATGTTATAGTTTGGGTAGGCTTAGTGGGGTACACACTGTGGGGTACAACCCCTTAGGTTTCTTTTCTTTGTACCAACCCTCTCGATAGTCGACATCACTTTTTGCCTATGATTCTAACAGGAAAACCTTTACTTATTATAAGCGCACGCACATTTTGAAAATATAAATCTGTTTAAAACGGTAACGAGTTTCATTTTCGCAGCGAGCCAAATTTCATCTTCGCTTCTTTTGACTCGCGAAGACCTGACTGGCTGCGCGTCCAATCGGGATGTGCTAGCATGCCTGCAAAGTGACGTGAACTTTCCAGTGTGCAGGAAGCAGAATCGATTGCGCGCGATTCTGCTTTGTGACGCTATATTATTTCGACTCGGTTGAAATGGCGACAATGAAAGGTACAGTTTGGTACCCTAAAAGTATAAATTTGTATTTGTCATTATATAAGCACATGCGATTATGCCCGAAACTCAATTATAAGCGCCCCCCTTGAAAAAATCAATTTTATTATAAGCGCATATGCGCTACTATCCGGGGTAATACGGTATGATCGCAGCAAACCACACGGACGTGAAGTGCTTGGGCTATCCCCGCTAAGGGCAGGATAGTAATGAATTTCTACATTCATTACAGGTATGGAATATGTTCTTTATAGTTCTGGTCGCAATCATTTTTAGACTTTTACCACAGCTAGTCCACGCCGCACCGCCCTCCTTATAGTCGCTACCACCCCTGACAATTTTTGCGAAATGACTGTCACGAACGAGGATCCTTAGGGCGGTCCGAAAGCACACGAAACCAACCAGACCAGCAACACCTGCAACCGCGCGTCGCAAGAAAGAAGAGATGGCTTTCGTAGGGGAACGACATTCCCCGCCCTGCCACCATCACCGTGCCACAACCACACCCTCCCCTCTGGGTGCCTCTAGCCCGCTCCGTGCTGTTTCACAAATGGGTGTCTGCTTCATTTCACCCCTACCATCCCATATCAAGATTGCTGCAAAATACGTTACTGACGCGCTCGGATCCCCGTGTCTTGCTTCTGCTCCGTATGAGCCGTTTCATGGTTATTCAGCATCGATTCCGCTCACAAGCTTAAAGTCTTGTAAACAACAAGCAAATATTCTTCCCATTTCAACGGCGGCTTCGCCCCTCTCCTCTATCCACCTGCTCTACCGAGATTTCTGACGGTGGTGCCGGCCGCATTCCTTTATTTCACTGCATTCCACGTTTGGAGATAACAAGCAACAGCGCCGCATCTCTTTCATAAAACTTCCTCGCTCGCCATGCCCCCCGCGCTCAACCGGTCGTCGTCGGCAGCGGCAGCGGCGGCGAATGCCAAGATGTATTCGGCGCAGGGGCCGCACGTGGTGGGGCTGGACGAGATCGAGGCGCTCAAGGCGTCGGCCAACAACCTCTTCGTCGAGGGCAAGTTCGGCCAGGCCATCATCGGTGAGTGCCGCGCCAGGCCATCATCGGCGAGTGCTGCGCAAACCACACACACCTGCCACCTGCCAGCTGCTCCCTGCGTGCGGACGACAGCCGTCAAACCCGATTCCCGAAGCGTTTGCGGCCAGGCGGAAAGTCATTTCCGCTGGTTTGTGGTCCGCGGAGAGCGGTGGGTGGGTGCAAGGTGTTGGAGTTGGCCAGAATCCCTAATCCCTTCACCATTCCCTTCCTCACCTGCTCTCCGTCTTCTTTTGCCCGATCTAGGTTTCTAAACCCCCAAACCACCTCGTACCTGGCCTGCCGTGCCCTCACGTCGCGTTATTTTTTCCACTCACCCGCCCGCCCGCCCTCCCGCCCTCCTGCCCGCCTGCCCTCCTGCCCTCCCTCCCTTCCACCCGCCTGCCCGCCTGCCCACGTGGCCGGCAGGCTACAGCTACGCCATCAAGCAGATGGCGGGGCTCATCGTGCCGTCCGCGCGCCGCGCCAGCACCAATCTCGACAGCCCCTCCGCCGTCGCCAGCGCCGTGCGCGACGCCAAGCCCGACCCGCGCACCGCGCAGCTCGCCGCCATCTTGTACAGCAACCGCGCTGCGGCCTACTTGAAGCTAGAGAAATACGACAAGGTGAGTTAAAGTCAGCGTACTGCGCCTCTATTGCTAAATGGACGGAAAAGGAATTTGAATGCATGTGTTCGTAGTAATCTGGAAGGCGAATTTAAAGCTCAACACAGAGGTCACAGACCGTGGGCGACCTTACATTCAACTAGACACGGCTCCTGCGCCGCCCCACCTACGCGGACACGACCCGCTTCCTTTTGCCTGCGGCAATGCCCTCTGCCCTCTTCTGATTCACTCTCGCTTTCTCCCTGCCCTCACGTTCCCCGGCAGATCGCCATGCATTTCCGTCCCCCATTATCTCCCACCCGCCCACGAAGCACGATTGCGCACAGCTGCCTGGCACCGCCTACGCACGTCTAGACAGTTTGACACGCACTTGGCACGAGCGTAGCCCGTTTCCAATGGCGCGCCCTGCCTCGCCCCTCTTACCCTCCTCCTCCCATGCCTCTTGCTTGCATTCAAATGACCACATTGCACCCTTGTGGGGGGCGCGCAACGGCATTTGTGAAGCCCTTCTGTGCCTACTGATCGAATCGGCTCTTTCTCTCACCCTCAACTTCACCATTCTCCCTTTTCTTCCTCACTCCCAACTCCGTTGCCTCATTGGCTTGCTTGCGTTCCTTCTGACTTTCCGCATTCCCCCTCTCCCTCTCCCTGCGTGGCGGCCCCACCCAACAGGCGGCGGTGGATGCGGGGGCCGCGGCGGTGATAGACGCGAGCAACTTCAAGGCGTGGCTGCGCAAGGCCATGGCGCACAAGGAGCTAGGGCAGTGGTACGACTGCCACGTGGCGTGCAAGGCCGCCCTGCGCCTGGAGCCCGCCAACGAGGACGCGAGGAGCCTGTTGGAGGAGTCGCAGTTCAAAATGGGGTCCGTGCCGCAGCACCCCGCCCCCCAGCCACAGGCAGCGCCGGCGCCACAGCCCTCGTCAAAGAGGTTCGGCTTGTTTGGCAGAAGATGATTCACGGTGCAGCATGGTGGGGGGGGAGAGAGGGGGGTGAGGGGATGGATTCTGAGTGGAGAAGGATGTGGTGAAGGGTGGATTACAGGCTGTGCATGGGGATGATACGCCCAGGCAAGGTTGCTAGAAGAGCTCTTGGGTGAGCTTTGGGGAGGAAGTGGCAAGACGTAAACATTAGGGTAGCCAAGTGACAAGGATGAGGAGAGATGAGAACGTAGGGAGCATAAGGCTCCCCGGAACGCTGATTTCTGTAGAAATCAGCAAAGGAGACATTTGTGTAAATAAACTCTCAAAACAACCATTTGGCTTGTTGAGAAAAAAGAGAGTATGGTGTACCGTATTTTATAATCTAATACTCTGGTTGGAAATACCATAATCCTGAGCTCTGGATGACCCAGAAAAGGTAGTCAATATGGACTCCAGAAGATTGTTCCATTGGGGATTGGGGAGGTTCTCTGATTGGCTATCTTGTATTTCCTAGAAACTGCAGCCCTTAGTCAGCATTACTGGTTCTGTCTGTGCATACTTATCATGGGGAGGGGAAGGCTAGCAACACGGCCTGGCAGCGGCCACCTTGGCTTTGGTAGCCACTGTACTCCAAAAACATCACAGCTCCGATCATACAATGCGTGATACCGTAGCAGTTGAAAGCATTTCAAAATATTTGAAACCCTGGCTTTAAGCATCATGCTTCTCTGGGGGGGTAAGAAATGTTGGGCTGAGAAGGCCCTTAGGATCTTTACAGGACAGAATTCAAGAGTAGGATGATGTAATAGCGGAGGCGTTTAATAAAAGATTGTGAACCACCTTGCGCTGGTATATGAGGGCAAAGTAAGTTGATAATAACAAAAGGATACAAGTTTTTATATGATTACAACGAATAAGAAAGGGTTCTATTTTAACTGTTTTTGCTGTTGCGGTTCGATACAGTGCCGACTCGGGTAACTGCTCTGGAACGAGTCAGTTATATGTCCTTGCTGTCGCACTGTACATTTCGTCAGGTCAAAGGTCGGGGACCTTTGACCTTCGCGTAACCTCCGACAGTTGACTCGCGTGATACTTCGCTGTAGTTAGTTCCGTTTTGTGTCTCAGCGTCGATACGACAGAGGCGCTATAAATCACTTGTTTCCAACACTCCCCTTCGCTTCTGGAGTGTCGCTGCAGGTGACGTGGCTCTGTCCAGTCAGCAGCATGCAATATTTGAACTTCGGCTTTCCGAGCTTCTTGGTCAAGTAATCAGCTGCCATCTCGGATGTGGGGCAGTAAGACAGCTCAAGTCTTCCCTTCTCGATCTCGTCTTTTACGAAGAAATAGCGCAGGGCGATATGTTTCGTCCTGTTCGCGAATCCATTTTTGTTGGCGATGCGAATTGCCGACTGGTTGTCGCAAAATAGGGAGAAGCTGGGTAACTGGGCCAGCTTTGCTTCCTCCAGAAGTTCGCGAAGGTACAGTCCTTCCTTGGTGGCTGAGCAGAGTGCGATATATTCAGTTTCAGCTGGGGAGAGGGCGATTAATTCCTGTTTGTTCGACTGCCACAAAATACCGTCATACCCCGGATATAAGCGCCACCCGCGGATAAGCGCCTGGCGCTTTTAATTGGCGTGTGGCGCTTATATCCGGTGCTCGATTATAAGCGCATACCTAAAAGGCTTACGGATTATAACCGCATACCTGTGCCTTACATTTTATAACCGCCACCGAGTTTTTTTTCTTTTTTTCATTTGAAGTCCTTTTACGGTACATAATTAGTATACTAAAACATCATGTTAATTACTCTACAACTACTTAATCTACTCCTACCTACGAGCCTCACACAGGCTTCACCATTTTCTACACTAGTTAATCTACCCTACTCTAATCATCAGCTGCAGTGGGGTCATCTGGGTCGGCCTCAGAGTCCGACTCAGGTTCCTCTACGTTGTTGCAGAAGAAACCGTGTGCTGCAATTTCATCATCCATGTCGACCTCCTCGCCCTCGAGCTCGTCTCGCCTGTGTTGCAGGCAGAGCTTGTCCTGGGACCCATCCAGGGCGTTGCTGATGCCGCAGGTGAGGAACGCCCGTTGAATGAGCTCCTTGAGCACGGACTTCCAGGCCGCCGAGATCCACTTGAGCGTCAGCTCGACAGGAGGCTTCTTGATGTTGCCTGCCACGCAAATCCAGAAACTGGGTCAGCATGGGTTAAAGAAATAAAAACATAAACAGAAGAGCTGCACCTCACCTTTCTTCGTCAAGGTGTCGACCCCCTCACGCTCAAACCACTCCTGGTAGAGCTGGCGAACGGCGGCCTTGAAGGAGCGGTTAACCGCGATGTCGAGGGGTTGAATCTCCGAGGTGCAGCCAGCAAGGATAACCGCAGGGACCAGGTTCAGCTCGCCAAACTTTTTCTTCACCTCTGGGGTCAGGTGCCCGCGGTACGAATCGAGAACGAGCAGAGCTTTGCGGGGGCGGACTCCGAACTTGGGGTTGATGTACGGCTTCACCGCCCCGTCCAGCCACTCGATGACACCGTCCGCGTCCATCCACCCGTTGGGATGGACCCCCACGTGGATATCTGCACAGCAACAAAACCACGATGTTAGTTAAAATTTTTAACTGACATCGACATGCCACCGCGTAATCGACGTGTGGTGCATACCTGAAGGGAAATCTCCTTTGGGGACGGTCTTCCTTTTGAAGAAGACCCAAGGCTTCAACTTCTCCCCGCTGGCGGTGCAGGCGAGCATCACTGTAACCCGCTCTTTCTGGTAGCCGCCGCTGCGGACGGGCACGGAGCGCGAGCCAACCTCTTCAACGGTGCGTTCGGATGGCATCTCGAGCCAGAGGGGCGTCTGGTCCGCGTTTAGAATCCACGGCAGGTCGATCTTGTACTGCCGGCGGGAGTGACGCACGTACGTCCAGAAGTTCTTGACTTCAGTCTCGCAGTCTAGGACACGAGATGGGAGGAACAGAAAGCACAAACACAGAGTGAGAGCCGTGAATAGACGGGAACAGACAAAAAACAATACCACCAAATAACAACTCACTGGACGAGAGCTTCTGGCCGACCCGGGTCTTCGCTCTGGTCGTCAGGTTCCAGCGGCGGCGAAAGCGCTGAGTCCACCGCTGAGAGCCGGCCCACCTTTCACCTGGGTGTAACTCTTTCATCACCTCGTGCGACCACTTCTGCAGTCGTGCGATCGAGACGGCGAGGCACTTCTTGCGGTGGGCGAGAAACCTCCGGTACACCTCCGCTTCCATGTCGCGATACCACGAGCTCCTTCCGCGGCCGTGCAGGCGACAGCGTGCACCGTGCGCGCCCTCAAGCTCACCCTTGCGGCTCTTCCACTCCGTGAGGCACCTTCGGGAGATGCCGGATTCGCGAGACATGCGCCGCACACTCATCTCTCCGGCTTCGAGCTTCAGAATCCATTGCAACTTCTCATGCGAGGTGTAGGAATTGCGCCTGTGCTTTGTCGGCTTGTGCCTGGGGGAGGGAGGACGGGCATCACGATTATCGCGAGATGGGTGGGGCCTTTTTTTATTCGGAGGGGGAAATGAGGGAATTGGAAGGTGCTCGGGGAGAACGTCAGCAGCCCAGAACTCCACGTCGTCGTCCGCGCCGGTAGCGGATTCGTCCAACGGGCAATCAGCCGGCGCTCCCCATCGTGGCTCCGGTGCGGAGGAAGATCCTTCGCCGCCGCTGTAAGGCTCGGACAGGAAGGCGTTGAACGCCGAGAAGCCAGGGGGGAGGAGAAGCTGCAGAACCCCTTGTCGCGGAACACCAACAGAAGGCGGGACGGGAGGGGCCGGAGGAACGGGAGGAATAGGAGGCGCCAGGGGAGCGGGAGGGGTAGGAGGCGTAGGAGGCGTGGGAGGAACGGGAGGCACTACTGGTTGTGGTGGAGGGACGGGCGCAGGGCGCGTCTGCCATTGAGAGGAGTCACGAGTGTCTCTGCGGGTATTTTCTCTAGCAGCAGGTTGGCGGCGGAACAAGAAATGCGTGCCTGGAAGGCCCGCCATGGCCACGGCAGGCCAAACGAACGAAGAAAACTGAACCAAAAGTTGGGAATGAGGGCCGTATGAAGCCCTCGCCCGAGACCCCTTCAGTTTCGCGGCCCGGCCTCCTCTGCGGGGAAAGTGTGGCCACAGCCAAGATTCCCCGCAGAGGAGCTGAAAGGGACAGCTCCTTGCCTCGGTGGCAAGGGAATCTTGCTGTTGATGGGCACGTCGTGGCTGAACCACGACGTGCCCACGATCGCATGCAACCCTGATTGGGCCGCTGTGATGCGAAGTACGTGTGCCCTGGCATGGGCCAGATTCACGTTCGATGAACCTGGCCTGGCCAACAAGGCGTGGAAGGCGTGATGCCACGCCTTGTTGGCCGTTTCACGCGCAAAGCATGCACAGAGTCGAACGTTCTCGACTCAGGTGAATCCGCCTTTGAGAATGCTTCGATTTGGTATATATAAAAACAAATTTCATTTTTGACATAACATAAACGCCGGCGCTTATAATTTTACTATATTATAAGCCCACCCCCTAAAAAAAACATGTTTTATTAGTGCCCCCCATGGGGGTATATCCGGGGTATGACGGTAGGTCTGATAGGCTCGAGATGGTAGATGTAGCCTGTGCGCGAGCGCCTGTTGTCAGAATCTCCGGCGTGGTCGGCGTCGACGTAGCCGATTAGCTTGGGCGTTGTAGTTATGTTTTTGTAGTAGATCAGGCCGATCGTCGGAGTGCTTACGAGGTAGTGTAGAGCGCGATCGAGCTCCTTCATGTGTTCGTCTTCAGGCCTTTTGAGGTAGGTGGCTAGTTGACTTGCTGAATATGATAGGTCTGGACGGCAGGTGACGGTCGCGAAGAGAAGGCATCCCAGCTTTCTCTGGTAGTTGCGTATGCTGGCGGGTTTCAGTGGAGCAGATTCTGCCTTGTCATTTCCTGCCGTGTAGCGGTATGGCGTAGAGATGGTAGTTGGCGTGAGTGCGAACCGTTTAGCGATGGTGTCGGCATATTTTGC